CGGCGCGACCTCCGCTCCACCAGCCCCGCCAGCGACCTCCAACCCCAACACTGGCGCGTGGCAGATCAACCCAGCAGCCGCCCCTTCTCCCCTGTCTCCTCCTCCCATCAGATCCATCACCGCCTCCACCTCGTCATCTCCTCCTCCCTTCAGATCCATCCACCCACTGCCGCCCCTTCTCCCTCGTCTCCTCCTCCCATCGGATCCATCACCGCCGCCACCTCCTCTTCTCCTCCTCCCTTTAGATCCATCCACCCACTGCCACCCCTTCTCCCCCAGACCAAGCAACCTCCTCTCCTCACACAACGAAGACAACTGCGCTGCCGCCCAGCGACAACAGCGTCACGGCTGGCTTGCTCGCCGGGGCGCGCGTGCATGCTTCGATGTGCGGTGCTCCGTCGACCTGGCCGGACCATGGCGCGCGCGTGGCTTGCTTAGGGTTTGCGGTGGCAGCGCAGCACGCCATGTCTCCGGCCACCAGGACGGCAATGGCGCGAATATCTCAGAGACCTCTTGGCCTCTCCTGGCCTCAAACGCTCACCCGTAGCCCTCCCCGTGGATAGGGCGGCGGCGCCTCAATCGTCAACACGGCTCCGGCGACATTAGCGGCTCCTCCCCGACATCTGCCGCGCCACCACACGCGGCCCAGCCCCTGGATGGTGCTATTCTGCCCGGTGGCCATGGGGTACTCGAGCTTCATCCCCTCCTATCTCTCTCTCTCTCTAATTTCTGCTCTGTTCTTTGACTGTAGGTATGCAGGAGGATGTTGTAGATAGACTAGGCGGCAAGGATGGATGGCGCCTGAGGAGGGGGTGCTCGACCATGGCTGCTGCTCAGGATGCATCAGCCATGGATCTTACTCTCTGGCCGTAGGTGAGCTCGTCCCCTCCTCCCCTCTGCTCGGTTGATTTGCTAGTACTAGGATAGGCCATTGCTTCTCTGGTGTTAGAATTTGCCACTGTACCTCGTGTGGGTTGGATTGATTTTGCACAAAGATCCTAACAGCATATCAGAATAGAATCATCTTTTTAGGTTCGCTGGAATGCATCAGTACAGCAAACCAAACACATCATGCATCACAACAAAGAGCCTAATTGAAGTTTTGCTCTACTCCTTGCTAGTTCTATAATTAGATGCATTTTGTAGATAAATTATTGGCCATCTATGATGGATTTACAGTGCTAATTTGGTTGTATAGCCTTTCCGAGAACCGGCAAAGATACTTCAAACATTATTTCTATTACAATGGTTTCATTAATCTGGTCTCAAAATTCAGTTTAGTTGGTTCAGTGTTGTAGTTTAACTGATCTCATTTTCCACATGCACTGTCTTATAATGATTTACAATTCATCGATATGCTCACAAATGGACAGCATCAATGATATGCTCTCAAATTTGTTTTCCAAAATATTGACAGGAGCATTGCTCTTTCTGTTAGTAGAAAAGAGGAAGTTTAAATACAATTTTAGTACAGGGGCCAACCCCTAGCACCTTGGTACACAACCCAGATCATCAATGAGTATTCTGCTCACATTTTGACATGCATAAATGACCTCCTCTTAAATTGATAACATAAAGTTATGATCTCAGATAAATTTGCTAGATTCCTCACAAAATGCAAATCCAGTTTCTAAAACTGAAACTTCACTTCAGGTTCTTGCTGCTCAGCTACTGCCTGCTGCCTCCTTCATCGATTTAGAAATTCAGTTTATAAAACTGAAACTTCACTTCAGTATTTCTTGCTTGCATGTTTGCTTCTTCTTTAATGGTTTGCGATTTGGATCAACTAAACTGAAAGTGAGATGCTGAGATGTGGATCACACTAGTACTATTTAAGTATTTCTTGCTTGCATGTTTGCTTCTTCTTTGTGCTAAAGTAGGCGAGTTGATTTTCTGCTCTTAGTTTCTATAGCAACTGGAGGAGGAGTTGGTGCCGAGAACTCCAAGAACTCATAATGTACATTGTCAGGCAGGTAATCTCCAAGATTGCTATAACCGGGCACCATCCTCGGATCATTAGTAGGCACCTTGAGCGGGGGGCATGATTGGTTCGCTTGTTCGCCCAGCTGGGGAATTTTTTCCCAGCTCGTCATTCTTTTAACCTTTGATCACTGACAGTACTTCCCGACCGCTCCGCTTCAAGAAATGACTTTTCAATAATGCGCTCATAGTTGCCTTTCGACGGAGACTTTGCTGGGTTTTTCAGGGCAGCCAGAGTGTGCTTCGCTTTCACTGGATCTACCTTCTCCTCCGGAGGTGGATGTTTCTTTGCTTTCACCCCTTCAAAGAAGTTCCTCACTTCGGCTCGCGCGATGTCGGCGTTCTCCTCCGGGGTCCTCCACTACAAGAAATATGTCAACTAGTGACCTTGTGTCAGTGACCCTGGAAGAATTGGTCATAGATCTATCACCATTTCAGACCAGTTGGTCAAAAGCTGTTCGGGGGGCTCCAAACCCTAAACTATAACGACCATTTTGGTCAGAAAGGTCATAATTTCCTTACACGAAATGGTCATAAAGCAGAAAGCACTGGTCTGCTGCCTTATTTCTAGCTGATCATGACCAATATAGATGGTCATAACATTGTAAATTGTGGTGGGTTGCTATGACTAGGCGCCACCTCATCGGTTTTGCCTATGTGTCATGTCCATGTGACAGTTTTTGCCCTAGGTTGTGAAGCAACCTATATTTCTGTCATTCCCAAAATTCCCAAAAGAATCTCATAAATTCTTTGGGTCATATCTTCATCAAATATGTAAAAATCCTTCCTTGCCTAGTTCAAAACTAATTCAACAATATTTATTTTCCTATTCTGTTCACAATAGCACTTTATGAATGAAGTGATATTTATATATTCTTGATTGCCCTTGGAATTTTTGGGCACTCTTTCCTATCCAAATCATTACCGCATGACAAAATTCAGCTCCATTTGCCAAGCAAATCTTCCTCGGAAAATTTCCAAAGTTTTTGTCCACCTAGAAGCATTGTGAGGGAAGTACCTTTTTTATATATCGAAATGACATGAAATTTATACAGTTCCTTCATATGCCCAAATTATCACCCTCCTCCAAATTGCAGCTCAGTCAAATCATCTATGTGAGCCCAGGTTCAATTTATATTTTATGGCCAAATTGGCACGTTGCAAAGCAAGTGTTATATGGACCCCTCCTATTATCCTCAAACTTTTCGGGCACTCTTCCATACCCAAATCATCCACATGATAATATTCAGCTCAATTTTCCTAGTAAATCTTTCTCAGGAAATTTCCAAAGTTTCTACCTCGAGAGAAGCTTTGTGAAGTAAGTACTAGCTAGGCTTACCCAAATGATCTGAAAATTTACCAGCGCATGACCATACCTATGTAACTTACCTACACCAATTTTTAGCTCATTTCATTCATCCAATCTCTCTCACTAGTTTTCCCAAGTTTCTATCCATAGAAGAGCATTGTGAAGGAAGTACTACTTTGGCATGTCCAAATGGTATCAATTTTCTACAATGCTTTCCTATGCCCAAATAACCATCCTCCACCAAATTTCAGCTCAATCCATTCATTATTTTGAGCCCAGCTTCAACGTTCATATTTTTGTCCAGCGTGGTACTTTGCAAAGCAAGTACCACCTAGGATCCTCCTTTTGAGCTAAAAATTTGTGAAGACATTCTCCTTAGTAGATGATCATCCTCAGCCAAAACTCACGCCCATTGGCCATGTGCATTTACCGTACCGCTAATCAAACACTTGGCTGCTAATTCATCTTTGAGCATAGGTCAGTCTCCTCGTGAGATTCTTATGTTGTAATTTTGTTCCTAGCACCTACCTAGGGAGTGCCCAACCCACTAGACATGCCTAGGCCTCCCAGAAAGCATGTCAACGCCAAGGTCACGTGGTGACCACGTGACGGGCATGTGAGTTTACGTGCTTTGGAGTTGGGGCCCTCGGCCACATCCAAACCTCGACGCATCGCCATCAAACCATGTATTTATGATTAAATAGATACTTATGTAACTAGAAATGATTTTTGGAAAAAATAAAGAGCAAACAATAAGGTAGATGCAGTTCAAAATTGACCCGCTTCCTGCTGAATCGGCGGGAATTTGTCTTTTTCACCAGAGGTGGATCAAGGCATTTGACACCTAACCATTTGGTCAATTATGAATCAAATATGGCCTAGTATTTTATAAAATTGATTTGGTCCAATTTTGCAACAAATATACTGTAGGTCCTTCACAAAAAGAACTCAATTCGGGCACTCGAAAAATGGAAAATGAATTTTCCGTGCAAAGAAAATAAAAAGTCCCTTAGGCAACATTGTTTGCCATTCAAATATGCACCCTTGTGCATAATATGAGATCATTTGAAGAAACTATGCCATGAATGTGGCCATAAGATTGATCATTTGGCTTGAAAGCCATGAATCTTCACGCATGATAGCTCATTTCTGATAACACTTTTTTATAATATTTGCCGTATTACAAGTTCATTATTTTTCCTGGAAACTTGGTCACATATAATGACACAATGCGCAGGTTTTCCAAATTTTTGATTTTTTTTATATTTTTTATGCTCGTTTCAAATGCGGTCAAAACGGCTGGTTTGATCGTTCCTAGCTAGTGGTCGAATCTTGGAAAACTTTTGATGTTTCTCTGATTAAATAGATACATATGTATCTAGAAATGATTTTTCGAAAAAATGAAGAGCAAACTACAAGGCAGGTGCAGTTCAAATTTGACCCGCTTCCTCCTAAATCGGCGGGAATTTGTCTTTTTCACCAGAGGTGGATCAAGGCATTTGACACCTAACCATTTGGTCAATTGTGAATCAAATATGGCCTAGTATTTTATAAAATTGATTTGGTCCAATTTTGCAAAAAATATACTCTAGGTCCTTCACAAAAAGAACTCAATTCGGGCACTCGGGAAATGGAAAATGAATTTTCCGTGTAAAGAAAATAAAAAGTCCCTTAGGCAACATTGTTTGCCATTCCAATATGCACCCTTGTGCATAATATGAGATCATTGGAACAAACTATGCCATGAATGTGGCCATAAGATTAATCATTTGGCTTGAAAGCCATGAATCTTCACGCATGATAGCTCATTTGTGAGAACACTTTTTTAAAATAATTGCCGTATTACAAGTTTATTATCTTTCCTGGAAACTTGATCACATATAATGACACAATGTGAAGGTTTTCCATTTTTTTGATTTTTTTTTAATTTTTTATGCCCATTTCAAAATGCGGTCAATACGGCGGGAATGACCGTTCCTAGCTACTGGTTGAATCTTGAAATTTTTTTGATGTTTCTCTGATTAAATAGATACTTTTGTACCTAGAAATGATTTTTTGAATAAATAAATAGAAAACTCTGATGCAACGCAGTTCAAATTTGACCCGCTTCCAACCGAAACGGCGGAAATTTGTCTTTTTCACCAAAGGTGGATCAAAACTTTTGACACCCAACCATTTTATCAATTGTGCATTAAGTATGTTCATCTATTTTAGAAAATTGATTTGGTCCAATTTTGCAACAAATATATTGTAGGTCCTTCACAAAAAACTCATTTTCGGCACTTGAAAAATGGAAAATGAATTTTTAGTCAACCATGACCAATTTTTTAGTCAACTACGACCAATTTAAATGGTCATGACATCGTACCCGTGTGCTGCATTTTGATTTGTCTGTGGGCGTTTCACGTGGATTGTGGATCGAACACCGTCGGATGCTAGCGGATCCAACGGCAGTCCTCACCCCAAGCCCACCTAAGCCGAAACCCTAGTCCTTGTGGACATTTTCCATCCACCACCACCCCCTGCCTCCTTTCTTTCTCCCTCCCTCCCGCGACCCCCGACCCCAACCCCTCCCTCCCGCGACCTCCTCTCCCCCGATCCCATTGGGCGGCGCGACCTCC